TGAGGTACTTTGACCTCCTGAATCTGAATATGACATTCACATAGCCCGAAACCTCCTGGCGCCTGCGCCACAGGCGCCGGTGATCTGAGGTATTTTGGCGCCAGCACCTGTAGCGCGGGCGGCAGGAGGTTTTGCGCCGAGCGGATGTGATATTCGTGATCAGAGAGTCAAACCACCCCTGGAAGCAAGTTTTCAGCGAGTTTGGTGATTTCGACTATTTTGGCGCCGGCGCCAGGAGGTTTCTGGTTAAGCGGATGCGATATTCGTGTTCAGCGAGCCGAACTACCCCTGGAGCCAAGTTTTCAGCAAATTCTGCCCACGGAGAAAAAAGTCGATCAGGAACTGGCCTGATTTCGGATGACTGGGGCAGGTAAAGGGTAAATAGTGCCAGAAAAACTTCTGCCAAAACCTAAACGGCGGAGGAGCTCTGGTGTCAATGAACCAGTTCGGGCGACAGCGGAATCTTTTTGAAGTGTTGTCCAGGAACGGGAAAGAGAGGCAGTTCGCTTGATAGGGGCATTTTGCTGGTCCCTATCGATCACTAAAAGGCCTCCCGTGAAGACCTCCCTCTAAAGTCTTGCAGAGCTATTGAACAGCACGAGCTTCTGGAATGTGAGTCTCACCGAGGTGAGTCAACAGGAGCTAGCAAGAGAAGGTCAACCAGGGAACGAGGCCCTACCCCTTCCCTAGCCCAACTGCGCCGCGCCGGAAAAAAACCGATAAGGGAAGAGTTTTCATAACAACTCACCTTTCCAAACACCACGTGTTTTCCATCCAGATAAGAAGTGTCCACGAGAGTGATAAAGAACTGGCTACCGTTTGTGTCTTTGCCAGCGTTTGCCATTGAAACCCAACCAGGTCCATCATGCTTTTAGTTGAAGTTACTTCATCAGGGAAGAGTTCACCATATATGGACCTATAGAGTTGTTATCCATGGCTATCTATACACTCAAGTGAATTAGTTCAAAAATATAATAATATACTTTCCACCAGTTCCATCTCCTTTTGTGAAATCACCGCCTTGGATCATGAAATCCTTGATGACGCGATGGAATTTCGTACCAGTGTATCCTTCGCCCTGAAATTGAGGTGTTGGGGATGACACTATAATAGCTTCATTTACGGAAGTAGCATACACAGAAAAGTTTCATATTGCTGACGGAAACTGTAAGAGTATATGTGGCAGCTTACTCTTGAAAAGGCCAAAAAATATCTCGTGTAATAGTAAGAATAGAATGGAAGGGGGCAAAAGATGTAAGGCCGCTGCGGTATATTGGTGTGGATGCAAGTGCTGCGCATTGAGAATAGCGCGTCGCAGTATGGAGATCGCTCCCGGATATTATTACCCTACAGCCTGATCTCGTGCACTTCGAGCAGGAAAATCGTACGCTGCTGCATCTGCGGTTCCACTCACCTCGAACATAGAAAGGATTTCCATCGAGAATCATTCTGCAGTTTGTCAAAAGAGGAATGCCAACGAGGAAGACACAGTTGCAGCCCGTTTCCGCCCCTTTCCCTTTACGACAAGTACAAAATTTGCTTTTCCAAAGGACGAAACTAATCATGAATGAGCAGAGAGGACGTAATCGGCCAGAGAGAGGTGTGACGTACAAGAAATTTTCGGCAAGAAAGAGAGGAAGTATAAAAGAGCGGACCTAGCAGGTTGATATAATGTACATAGCTGGTCGAAGACTTGTGAAGTTATTTTAAGTTCTGTTCTGACAGACTGAAGGGTCCTAGGGATAAAGTCGTAACTTTGGTTCTGTTCAGGTTCTCGAGGGAATGGAAGTGGTGCAAGCTATTGGAATAGTTCCTACGGGTGCTAACGACAAACCGAATGACGACGTGATCATCGCTGCTGCTGGGCATGAAGTGGTTGACAAACCATTCGCTATCGGAGGGAATGGCAGCAACTACGTTTTTGGCCTCTCTACACCTCTTGTGCATGGTAGTTGCTGTTCTCTTTGCGTAGATGAAGCGACGAAAACGCTCTCATTTTACAAAACCTGGGACCATTTTGTTCGGGAGGGTTGCGTGTCGTTACTTCCAAAATGCCAATTCTGACACAAAAGTAATCACCAACGCATTTGCTCATGAGCTCTGAAAAGAAAGAATCCTCCTCCTCAAGATTAGATGGTGAGTTATCTGGCACCTTTCGGGAGTAAAGACCAACCCATCCTCCTTCCCCTCCCCCCCCCCCCGTTCGAAAGCTATTCTAATGTCCTTGTGTCTTTCTATTTTCTCCACTTTTTTTCTTGGATCTTTTTCGCCATCTACGGAGGGTAGATGGTTTGAATATTCTTGTGTCTTTTTGCGAGTCAACTGCAATGCGATCCTCCTCACTTTTATAGAAAGTCCGTGTCACGTGCTTTAGGGAAGCTGAGACGTGGCAGCCAGGCATCTGCGGACAGTGGAGACGTACCCGAGCCCACTTTGACCAAGTGAATGGCGAGTAAGAACAGTAAGGGGACGATCTGCTCTTGGAGGGGGCGCACTCTTCAGGCGGAGCTTATTTAAGTCCACTAAATCTGCTCTTCCTCGCACACACACCAGAAGAGTGGCCTCAGGAGGGCTACTCTCACGTAGCTTTGTCGCGCGGAAAAATGGCCCTCCCCTTCCGAGGCACTTAGCATCTAGTCAGGACAGAGCTAAGAGAAGGAGATTGCATTGTCGACGAATCGGTACAGAAGATACACCGCGGCGTGTACATCCTCCTCAGCTCTCTCAGTCCAAGTTTCCCTACTTGTGTGTATGTATTGTCAAATCCACCAATATCGCTTTATAAGCCTTACCAACAATGTTACTTTCCAAAGACTCATGTACATTTTATCCTTCCCTTCCTCGCTATCGAGCGTTTATGAGTATTGATTTTACGCGTGTACAACTGGCATCAGATTTTCTCGAGTGTACGCTGATTGCGCGGTGAAATTGTAATTCGCGACGTTCGCGGCGCGGCATCGCGGTCAAGCCAGCACATCTGATTGTGAGTTGACTGGACACAGACGTCAAATTAATTGTGTCATGGCAGTGTACGCCCCGTAGCGTTCATTTGACGGATATTTCTCAGAAATACGACAGTCTATGTGAGGCCTTGTTTCACTCCAGTTTTTTGAAATCGTTGTCAAACAACATACATTATCCGACAAAACACACATAGACGCGCAGTCGCGCGGTCCCTGGCACCGTTCAGACTTTGCGATGATGCGCGTCGACACGCTGCCACACCTAGGTGCCACAATGCGAATCCCAAGCGGCCGGCACCGATCAATACCCATCTGCGGGGTGCAGTCCCGTCTGTAGCATTGGAGCGTGGTTGCAGTGGTAGTTTGTCGACGCGCGTTACTGCACGTTACAGCGCGACGACGCACATTATCGAGAAGTCATTACTCAAAGGTAGGCAAGAAATTCAATCCACAGACTGGCTTTTACCCATTCTGTGATCCCAAGACATAAATAAATAATATAAACGACTAATGGTAAATGGTGTAAGACAG